GGGGGGGGGGTGCCGCACTAGCTGTGCCCCCTCCCCCTGCAGCAGACCAGGGAGACCCGAGCAAAGCCGCACAGGCGGCGGGACCCCGCTGCCCGTGCGGCTTTGCTCCTTTGCCCAGGAGCAAAGCCGCACAGGCGGCAGGGTCCCCCGCCTGTGCGGCTTTGCTCGGGTCTCCCTGCTGTGCTGGGGAGTCCCCCCCAGCACACCAGGGAGACCTGGAGCAGCTTTTCTCACTCCGGAGGACGCGGTGGCAGGACCGCTGCGCTCTGGGCGGTCCCGCCGCCCCCGAGCTCCGGGGCGAGAAAAGCCCCGTTCGTAAGTGCGGATCCGACATAAGTCGGATCCGCGTAACACGGGGACTTCCTGTATTGCCAAGTAGTTCAGTCAATTGATAAAGTTGCAGCCTTTGCTTTCATCCACATGTGTGTGGTATCTGTTTTCCTGAAAGGTCTGTATCTGGTTCACTTTTTTCCTCTTCTTAACTTCATTGTTTTATTTTTCTCTGTATATCATTCTGTTTTGAAATGCTCCTTTGATTTGTGTATTTCCCCCCATTTTTATTTTTTTGCAATTGTATTGACCTTATGCATTTTTATATTTGTTTAATATTACTTTATAAATCATGTGTATGCACAATAGCTATATTAGTTTGAAACTGAGAACTAGAATATATTTGTGTTTGTCTTTAATCCAAATACTCCAGCACCCGTCTAACATGTTTATCAAAAGCTTCAGGGGATAGCTGAGTTAGTCTGTACAGGATAAACTTAAAAAACAACAAATAGTCTGGTAGTGCTACCAGACTATTTTATGTTTATCCAAGTCAGTTCCAGCTCGGCACAAATTCCATTTTATCTCACCTGGGATTATAAGAATCCAGGTTTGTTTTGGTGCATCTTTTAAAACTGAATTTATATAAAAGACAAAGCAGACTGTAGACAATGAATTAGGCTATAATCTGCAACTTGAAAATAAGGCCCCATGACTAAAATCCCAAAATGTAGAGTGTCTGTGGCTTTTTTTTTTTTAATGTTTCTACTTCACACCGTAACTAACTTCTGAGAGTAGTTGGTCCTTCTCTGTTACACTTTTAATGTATTTCACATTGTACAGTCAGTACATGGTTGTACTAATTGGGAAAGAATGATCTTGTGACTGAAGAGACAGGGTTAGCAGTCCAAAGATTTGGGTTCTCTTTCCAGCTTTCTGATTTACTTTGCGATGTGGGACATATCACTTCATCTCCATGGTATAGATATCTCATATTTAAAATAGGAATTAAGAAAGCTTTCCTATTCCATACATGTTGTGTGGCTTCAGTAATTAGTACTTTTATAAAGTACTTTTATAAAGCTCTTTAAAGTTTTGTTTTGAAAGAGAAATATACATTGTTAGCATTTAGCTCACATGCTAGTAGCTCTGGGGGACAAGGAATGGCAAGCAAAATTTCTTTCTTATCGTTACTTCCTGTAAAAAACCTCTTATTTTAAAAAAAATGAAGAGGCAGGGGAGGACTTGGACTCAGATATATTTTTCTGACTGTAAAGATCTAAAAATTTTAAAGCTGTCCTTAAATGCTTTTGCTGAAATGTAACATTTAATCTCCTCCACTCATTGATAGTGAATAGTTGTTAAAATCTCTGGTCTCATTATTTTTGACAGAACAAAATAAAAGCAAAACAACAGTGCCCAGTGTTTCTCTTAACTGGCTAATAAACACAATGGCAAGAGCATTAGATGAAAAAAATACATAAGAAACATAAAAATTGATTTTAATGGACCCCTGTCAGAGAGAACCATAATGAACACAAGTGTGGTAATAAATATTGGTATTCTACTCCACAGTTGTTGAGATTTTTCATGTAGAGTTGCATGTTACAATCAATATAGATTTTAGCTTTTTTTACAATAAAAATAAGTAAACCCTTGAAATATATATTAATACTTAGGACTTGGAGTCTGTTAAACAAATCTGGTAGTTTAGAAAATCTGTTAAGGATGCCTACTCAGTGCCACAATTTGTATGTGGGTCTTTTGCTGTGTTTTACAACTTTTAAAATGCTGTGAAATTAATCGTCTAAGATTACAATTTACTCTGTGATGTCTCATAGTAAAATTTAAGGAGAAAAGCGTAAAAGGCAGATTAAAAGAGGAAACTACCAGGCCCTTTCTGAGGTCCAGAGAGGCCTAGGCCTATTCCAGCTTTTGAGGTCCCTAGCCATAATAAAAATGATGAAACAGGAAAACAAAATAAGGCTCCAAAAAAAAAGAAGCAAGACACAATCTGAATATTTGTTATTTAACAAATGCGTTTCTAGCCTTTTTCTGTGCAAAATGCGCTAATTGTTGCCGAAATTTATTTTGTGCAACGTCACAGTTGATATTAAGCGCAAGCCCATTCAAACATTCTTGTCCCATAGTTGAACAGTAATAATTCTTTTCCTAGTTTAACACATTGAAGGTGTGTTCACCTGAAGCCACTGATGCAGGCAAACTGACAAAAATATGCAATGCATTTGTGATATTAGGAAACACCCTAGAGCAGTGTTTCTTAAAGATCGAGAAACACTAAACATTTTTTTTATGAGGAACACCAAGGATTTTTGGTTGGGGGGGGGTGGTTACTTGCCCCTTTAAAGGTGGCCATTTTGAATTCTGTTGTTTTCTACAGCACACCTCCGACTGTCTCGCGGCACACTGGTGTGCCACGGAACACAGTTTAAGAAACACTTTCCTAGAGAGTGCAAGTTTGAGTACTCCTTGAAGAAATTCCTTTGGCTTGCAATCCAGTTTAAAATTGATGGAATGTATTCATTTGATGAAGATGACCTTATGATTGAGATTGTTTGGGATTTCTTTGCTGTACTATTGCTGAAATTAGTCAAAATCTTTACCCATTAGCAAATCAGCTTATGTCTTCTACCAGATCTATTAGGTGATTAAACTGAATTTAACATTACTGTTGGGGGCCAGATCCCTGCAATGGTTGGAGGAAGGAGGAGGGTTCCCTCAAAGGCAGGATCAAGTAGGGTTGCCAGATGGTTTCAACAAAAATACCAGACACACTTAACATTACATCACATCTCATTTATATTCATCACCGGACATTTATATTTTTTCAATTGTTTCCTGAACAGAAAGCTCAAATACTGGACTGTCCGGTTCAAAACCAGACACCTGGCAACTCTAGGATTGAGGTCCTTTTTTCAAATGAGGCGTGTGGTCCCCAGCCTACAATTCCCTACTTTTACAATAAAGACAGGCCTATGGGTCTGGTCCCAAAGTTCAGTTCCCGCCTTTTAGGGTAAATTCAGCCCAAGAGGCCTAGCCAAAATTACTGTCCACTCATTCAGGGGGAATACGGCCCTGCAGACCTAGTCCAAAAAGTAGTATGGTCTCACTCTGGAAGGCTCTCTGG